GGAATTTGCATAGTGTCGACACAGTTATTGATAAGATTGAGCAGCCATGTTCTTGTCTTTGGTCCAAACTGTTTGATTTACTCAGTTCTTAGGTCATCAACACCTGCTGCCTTATGCTCCTTCATCTGTTTGATAGCCCCTTGTAGCTCTTGCGATGTGAATGGCGTATCTAAGGAGTGGTTTTCACTCTCCAGCTCTCGTTCAATCTCTATTCTCCTGTTTTTCCCTGCAGTTTTGCCATTTAGGAGGAGCTGGTGGGCAATCTGATTGGCTGTGACATCACCCATGCTTGATTTCTTTGTTGTTGGATCATTGCTTAGATTCTTTAGCAGCTTCCAGGCTCGACGACTGTTTCTCTTTATATCCAACTGTTCAAGGAGGTTGCACCATCTTTCCTTTCTAGATTCTGCTATGAGAGACAGTAGCTGTTCGCCAGTGCTTACAGTCTCATCTGAGAAGGGGTCCTCATCGAATAGTTTTTCATAGCTATTGAGGGCAGCTAGAGAGTCATGATCGAGGCCAGCAATATAGTTTACTTGACACCCTCTTGGAATGTGTTTCCTGGATATTTGCTTTACAATATTCACAAAAGCTCCATAAGATTGGTATTGGTTCTAACTTTGTGATTTCTCTGTCCAAATCTTGAGCAAACATGTCCCATTTTGCTTTTTTGAAGTTAAACCTTCGTTTGAATGGGACAGTTTCTGCTTTTATAACAGCCTCTATACTGCAAGTTATTGCTCTATGCTGTGTTCTGGGAAGAGGATTTTCGACATATTTGACAGCTTGTTGTGCTATTGCCTCAGTTACAAAGAGGTTGTCTGGGTTGTAGCCCTGTCTCCATCTAGCACTGTTGAAGGAGGGTGGAAGTTTGGGATCATGAATTAGCCTCAGATCATTCTGCTCTGCCCATAGCTCGAGGGCTTCACCATCGACATCTGTTGTTCGATATCCCCATGTGACACTGTGACAGTTGAAATCTCCTATGACTAACTTGGCCTTCTGATTTTCGAAGTTTCCAGGCTTGACAAATTCAAAGGTTGTGTTTGGTGGCTTGTACACTGAAGTGACTGTACATGATTCAAGCTCTATGGTTAAAATAAAATGCTACGTTGATGATACTTTTGTTATTTGTCCCCATGGTCAAGATTCCCTATTAGATTTTCTAAGTGACTTAAACGCTATATGCCCTAACATACGCTTTACCCATTCTTAGATGTTAGATAACATTGGGTCATTCTGTTTACAGAAAAACTACGCACACAGACCAATACCTTAATGCGTTTTCACGTACCATCCGGCCCAAAAATCATTGGTTTTTAGCTCTCTTGTTTACAGAGCCGTAAAACTATCTCAGCCCGAGTCACTGAACCCAAAATTATTCTTCCTTACATTCGAAATATCACCACACATTAAAAGTTCATAAGAGATATAATATAAAAAACAAATTTACCACTTGTTGAAAAATCTCTCAACATTTTGAAATTGAAATATCAGAAGTTGACAGCATTTTATGCGTTCTATCGGATGCGAATATATCTACTTCAAAATCTTAAATCTTGGTTAAAATTAAAAAAAAAGTTCAACATAAAAAAAACAAAATCTGTGAAATATATAGATAGGCACATTAAATGGGATTAACAAATAAAAATAGAATTAATATTGCTGCTTAAATTTAAATTTTTCAAGGAATTGATTTTAGGCTGGGGTGATGTAGCTTATTCAAACTTAAAGGCCCTGGATATTTTATGTTTATCAAGGAAAAATTAAGCTAAAACAGAGAACTAAAAAATTTTCCAACAAAAGACAATATTAACTTTGAATTTAGCTCAGTACAATATTTTGCGCTTAAAATATAAAGTACATAAAAATTTCACCCTTTTAACAAAGTTGTATAAGACTGAATAGTTAAAAATACGGAAAAGTGTAATAAACTAATTAATTTAAATTAGGTTAGAAAAAAAATTGTTACAAATAAGAAGACTAATTTTGTTATTAACACTGTAATAGTGGTTAGGTTACAATAATTTATAGGTTCATAAGCATGATTACGTTTTTAAGAGTTTTGTCAATAGTAATTATTTGTGTTTGTCCTAATCCTTTGCCTATACTAAAGGTTTTACTTTGCCTTCCTGTATTCTTTATCGCAGTATCTGTTTTTTGGAGTGTTAGTTTATTATTTTCAATGGTTTTGGTGGTATCTTAAGGTGGTTTGGAGCTTCTATTAATTTTGCTCTGTTGACACTCTCATATGCTCCCTTTCAAATTTACAAACGGCCTAAATGTAGGAATATTTTGTTCATAGCAACTCATTAAAACTTTCTTTAACATGAAGAATTAATAATATAATTTTTGCAATCCATTTTATCCCCCTTTTTAAAAATTGGTATTATTATTGCCTTGCTCCAATCCTTTTGCATGACTTCCGTTTTCCAATCCTCTTTTATAAGTTCTATTATCTGCGTTTATAGAAATTCTCCTCCATTCTTTAAAATTTCCGCTACAATATTTTTTTCTCCCGGACTTTTATAGTTCTTCAGCTTTTTATAATGACTCCGATTTCTTGAGTTGTATGCTCAGAGGTTATAATAACTTCTTCTTTTAATGTCATTTCTTCGTCGCCGATTAAGGTACTATTCCTACTTCTGATATAGGGTGGCAGGTTTTGGAATCCTTTTCTTAGATTTTTTTAATTTATTTTGTTTTCATATCTGTTATTTGATTATTCATGTGAGCTCCCTTCTTTTCCCTAAAATTTTTTTTTACTTTACTGCTTTGGTTGTTATACTCTTTTTTTTTTGCTCACACGTATTCCGTAACAATTTTAATTCTAAAATTTTGCTTAAGATGTATCGGCTCAACGCAATCTTTGTCCCACCACGTCTTCTTCTCAGACATTCTTTTTTCGGATATATTTATTTTCGTAGCTGCTATTATAAGTTCATTTTATATTATTCCATCTTTCTTCAATTGTACTGTCTTTTGTTTCATACTTGATGTATAGTTGTTCTACGTTGATTCTATATTTTTTTGAAGTACTTGGATTTTGTAAATCATTTATATTATAGTTTACGTTATACTTTTTCCTCGATGTTTTGGTTACTGTTGTTTTTGGAAATATCATCTGTATTCCTAACAGAAAATGGTTTAAATAGATTTCTGCTCCTCGATATGATCTGACATTATTTACAAGTTTTGGTTGTTCTATTTTAATGGGCAAATCGTCTATTTGGTTCTACCCCTTTGTATGCGGTATTATCCACGTGTCTTTATATCTTTGTTTTCTACGGAAGTACGTGCTCATTATTTTTAAGTCTTTTTCTTTGGCTAGTGGGACTAGCCTTACCGCCTTATTGTTACTTTCCTGGGGTTTGCTATTTCTTCCCGTTATCCTTTGGTAGAAGCCTTCGTAGCCTACTTTTGCATTAGTATTTCCGAGTATTATCGGTATGTTTTTGCGGGGGTACTATCAATTTTGTTCTCCAGTAATTCATAGAATGTCTTTCTCCTCCTTTTCCTTTTCCTCCGTTGGTTGGATGTTGGTTCAAAACTATTTATATCGTGTTTTAATTTTTTATTTATTAAGAACCCCACTCCCAGATGTCCTTTATTACTACCACTCCAAGAGAATATGTAGTCGTCTGCTTCTTGTATTCCTGTGACTTGAAGGTGTGTTTCTCCTTTTTCTACTGTGTAAATATTATACTTCTTTAATTCTTTTATTAGACTTTTCAAAACTCCCTCTTCGTTAATGCCTCTGAGATTTCAGGAGCCTAAATTTATTTTTCTGATGTCCTTGTACCGTGTTCTTGCTGACTTTGTTCTTTCATTGCCTTTTTCGCAACAGCATTCGTCATTCTCACTTACATCTCGGCACGGCTTTTGTACTTCTTAGTCAACGTTTTTAGTAAAACTTCATGTTGTCAGGTGGATTTTTCTATTTATAACCATTCACCAGGTATTGCACACCACAGATGGGTTTATTCACTCGAAAACCCCTGTTTTTTCCGATATTTCTCGGATCGATTTATAACCCAACCTTTCATTCGCTTGCCAGAGGCGGACTCATTATTATTACTACGTTGAGCAATTTGGATCTAAATGCGAAAATTTCAGAGAACATTTTGAGCGTTTTAACTCGTTTTTTGTAAAAAAATATATACGGGCCTGTCCCCAATATTAGTGTGGACTGTAAGAAAATGTGAACAATTTGAACATGTTACAACATCTCCTCTTTCGCTAAGTTACATAAATAAAAAAAGTAAATAATTTCAAGTACCTAGTCACAAAAGTGCAGCAAAAAAAAAGTGCAATGTATTCTGATTAAAATTCATTAGCCTGGACAACAGCTGTCGTCGTTAAAGTGGTTTCTCTTGTCCACACTAACGATTTAATTGGAAAAACAGGGAAAAGAACAAACAGAGAACAAACAGAGAAACCAAATTGTGAAAAGACGAGAAAAAAAATAAAAAAGGTCAGACAGGAAGAGGTCGGAAAAGCAAAGGGAACATTTGAATTTTATTGAATAGATGTATAAGAGAATCGTAGACCATGCAGACAGAATGTCAAATAGTCGTCTAGTTAAAGTTACACAAAACGAAAAATCAAATAATTCGACCACCTGGACGACACCCACCAGATTACATTAAACCTGATCTTCAGCTTCCTAACTGGGACCGGGATACCATTGAGACAGGTCTAACGTAAGAACAAATAGAAGAAAAGCTCATATTTTTAAATTTTAACTTTTAAGTTATAGATTTCATCAATTTTGAATAATAGATATTATTTTGGAATAACCATTAAAAACAATTTCTGCACAGGTCATCGCCCTTAGAAAATTAGAAAATATTGAAAACAGAAACTTTAAACCTGCCTGTAAATGATTCTTTGTACCATTTTACAATTTGTGTAATTTTTTTCAAATTTTTTCGTCGTTACTCCAAAACGTTAATTTCTTGAGAAATGCCATTATAGAAAACTAGAACGATTGCACTTACCTCAGCTGGAAAAGAATATCCGTGAATATGGTGCTCGGATCCTTGCTGATTCTCCGTCCCGTAATGTATATAAATCTCCTCAAACTGATAGCGGTAAGCCAAAGGCCCCCCCGAGATGTTGACGTGTTGCTTTGTGTCCTTATCGACCCGAAACACCAAAGATTGGCCTGTGTTGTAGAGCATTCCGCTCACCTGCAAGCAAACGTGCGACCTGAGTTTCTACAATTACACCGCGAAGCCCCGTTCAAACGCGAATCGAATCTATAAATGTGCTTAATTAATTTCGTAAAAGGTTTGGCAATCAAACGCCGCGCTTTTACGCGACGTACCCGTTCAAATGATTGAGACTTGCCATCCAAAAACTATACAGGTTGTCCCAGTAATTTCATACATTCCGGAAACGGACGGTTCTAGAAACTTGAACCTAGAATTATAAAATAAATCGGCTGAGAAAAATAATAAATATAAATAATAAAATTTTAATTTGACTTTAACCTCAATTTGGCAGCAAAAATAAGGAATTTGCGTTTTATTTGATAAATTCGAGATAACAAGACATTAATATTTAACAAAACCCTATTTTTCTTTTTAAACGTTAGGTTCTTTTAGTCATATTTTAAGTTAAGCTAAAGATATTGAGATGCGATTTTCCCTATGTTATTGGGTTCTGATTTGGCCATGCAGGCTGTTTTCAAACTGACTGTCAATAATTAAGGGGTCGATTTTTGGATTTATTTTAAAAAGAAAACTTCATATGAAATATATTCTTTTAATGTCTATAATACCACTTATATTTTAATGAAATTTGGTACACATGAACTATGTATCAAAAGGCATTATTTAGTGTACCACAATTTTTACGGAATTTCACATACCTATTTTGGCAGACATTGGTGGTAGGACACTGGTTTCTCTTAAAATAAAAATTATTCTTACAATCTACAATCATTTCTAAAGAAATTTAATTTCTTGATTATCTTCAAAAAAGCGATTTTTACGTAGAATTCAGTGGAGTAGTCAGTTTTTTTTCCAAAAGGTTTGGAAAAAAATAAAGTTTAGGTTTATTGAATGGAATGGAATAATTTAAATATTTGTTTTAATATCTAGGTTCTCGTTTTGGTTTATCTTTTTTAATAATATATAGGTCATAAAGCAATTTGAAATGTTACAAATAAAATATTATTTAACTAAGTTGGCTTCACGCAAATTATAAAACTGTGTAAGTAGGGTCAGGAATATATATGGTAAAACCTTTAAAAAAATTATTTGTTAATACAAATAACCCCATACTGTTATACATTTATGAGAAGCTCATACCAAGTAAAATCAAATTGACCTATAAGAAATTCTTTAAAAAAAAAACAAACTTTATTTTTTTTCAAAAAGACGAAACCATTTTGAAAAAAAACTGACTATCAATGTCTGCGGTTCACTAAATAATGCCTCCTGATACATAGTACATAGACGACTTTCATTAAAGTTTGTAAAGCAGTATTAAAAATATATTAAAAAAAAATATTTCTGAAAACTTTACCACCCTGTGTCTCAAAACTTAAGGGGACGTTTAGGGCATTTGTTTATATAATTTTTTTTTTATAATGGATCAACAAATCGCCCCATTAATTATTGACAGTCAGTTAGAAAACACCCTGTTTAATGACACCTGATGGTGAAGAATAGACCCAATTTTTAAAGAAAAAAAAAGTGGCAATACTAAAAATTTACAAAAGGATGTTAAAAGGGCGCAATGTAATGTCCTTTGTTTACCTACCAAAAAAAAGGTAAATAATAGCATTTTATATTGATTTTAAATTTCACTTGGCATCATAAATCATAAGTTGACGTTTTATTTGGTAAATTCGAGACAACTACACTTTTAATAACACTCCGTAAAGTGGATATTGTTCAGCAAATCCAACTTTTTTTAGAGTTAAGTTGTTCATATTAAGGTGTATATAATTGAGATGAGGTTTTCTGGCCCTAGTTAGAATATATAATGATATAAAAAAGTGTTGTGATCGTACTAATTCTATTGTGACATTACAATTATGATTATGTCTCGGCATTTTGTGATTACCAGCAAATACATTTCAACAAGTACTAAGTAACTTATATACCGAAATTGTTATTGTTAAATATTGGTTTTTTATTGCTCACCGTACCTTTTTACATTTTACGTATTTATAACAAAAAATTAAAAAGATCACCTTAAATAAACAAACATTATTTTAGATGTTTTCTAGAAAGCAAAGCCCAAATGAATTTAAAATTCGTAATTTTCGTATCAAAAGTATTAAAACTACCAATTTTAATTATGATACTATAGAAACTTTCAAAATCAAAGAGGCAATGAATGCTATTTATATATTCTAAACGTATGAAATTTGTATCTTGAATAGGACTCTAATAATTGGCGCACTAAATACATTTGAAATGTTATTTCTAGCGAACTGACAAGCAATCGCTATATCGCTAAAATTTCGTGTTCGAATGAGGTCGGTCTATCTTCAGAAATCACCTTGAAGAGTGCTGTTAATTAAAGTATAATTTAATAATTAATGAGATACCTGTTGCATATTTTTAATCCCCAAGTATGTGCTTTTTTTAATTAACAATAAATAATTAATAATTAATTCACAGTAAGGAAAAATAATTTTATATGTAAAACAATAGTCTAAAATATTTTGTCGATGTATTTATTACATTATCCCGCAATATAAGGTCTTATACGTTATGCCAATTGAAGGGTTTACAAGAATTTGTCTGAGTATTATTCGTTTCACATATATAGATTGGTCCTTAATGATACTCCAAAAGGCAATCCTCGATTAAACCGATAAGAATAATGACATTAAGCTTGCCTCAGTAAAATCTGGTCTTAAAGTTTAATTCTCGAAATTTCTTTATAGCTTAAAATGAGTTGGGAGATATCGACATGGAAACATCTGTTTGTTCTGTTTTTTTTTTATTATGAACGGACGAGTCAATAAATAAACTATATTTACATCGAATAAATGTACCGTTTTGGAGATACTCTATAATACTCTAAATTCCAGTTTGGACCATATTGTATTTAAGACTTTCGACTACAGTTGTGTTCGGTTTTAATAAGAGAATATTAAATTTTATCTCTTATATCTTATATCTTTTTCAGTGCATCAGCAAATTAAAAAATATTTCTGTTAAATTTTTCGAATATTCTATCAATCTAAACTATTCTTTATACGATAACATTGTTAATTTAAATGCCTTTACATTTACTGGTCTCTTCTGGTTAATTCTGCTTAATTAATAACAAAACCGCAATTTTTCATTTTAGCTCATCGAATTCCTAAATTTTGTTTGCAATATATTTGTTTAAATAAATTTGTTTCATAGAATACGGAGCGGTGTAAAAATATTAATTCTGCTGTGACACAAACATTCTGAAAGGCAAGGAATAATACACATTATTTCAAATAACATTGCTTTGCTCGTTTTACATAACAAATTTGATCAGAAGCAGCGATTCAAAAAATGGAATAACATATATTATTTTTGGAATGGGCAACGTTGTATCGTTCACAATATTTTAATTCGGAAAAACTTGAAATTCCAGTGTTTTCATATTTCAATATGGTGTTTAGAGCGAACAATCACATTTCCATATAACACTTATCAGCTTAAAACCCTATACAATTTATATCAGCGTAATTCTGGAGGATAATCTGACTGAGTAATTTTTTGAAAGAAATATATTTTTCTACTCTCTTCTGCAAAATACCTTCAGGGATCCGAGCCACTTCGGACATTTCCGGGATATTACCGCAATGGTTTGGGAGCAATGGGATGTTGTCGGAAATATTACCGCAGGGTATTCGTATTGTTTTGCAAAAATGTACCCAAAAACTAATAGTCCTCGAAAAAGTATAGTAAGCAACACGTTCTGTAAACTTTTTAAGTCACTCGTTTACTAAACACTCGCTCCGCTGTGCTCTGGTATTATGACTCAAATGCCGTTTACCACACTTGTTGCATAATATACTATAAAAATTAAAAGTTTCTGAAAATTCCAACTTGCTCCCTACCAATCCTACGTCACGTTTTGATTCATCGAATCATCACAAAATAGTATGTTATCCAACAAGTGTGGTAAGCCGAATTTGAGTTACGAGTTACGACTGTTACCCTTTGAGTAAATTTTTGCCAAACACGAATACATTCACTGACATGACCGTCAGAATTAACAAACGCCACAACTCAAGCCGTGCAGTTATATCTCCGAAAACATCCGATTGCTCCTAAACCTGTGGCTCGGATCAGTGGGAAACGAAACTGACCGAGTAAAATGACACTTACCGCACGATAGGCTCAAGATTTTTATTCTATTGCCTTTACCAAAGCGTAATAACATTCCAGATGTTTTTGAATAAATTTCCTTATTTAAAAATATATCGAAAGAGGATTTGTTTGACCCAAACGGTTATTCTGCCGTCTGGCGTCATGGTTAATTTGGCCACAGGTCGAATGGATGACCTTTTCTCCAGAATCCTGATGTCTCTTGTTGCGGCTAGGGCACCAAATAATAAGTCTTGTTTTTCAAAATTCAAGTTAAATGCATATTTAGGTTACATGTTACTTGTAATCTTAGTCCAATTTCGTACTAAAGTTAAAAAAAATTACACTATAATCATTTATAGATGGTGGAATCTGTGGGTGGGTGATTGGTATCAAAAAATTGTGATTCTTGGGAAAGTGAGCAGGACAATTGCGGCAAAATCTGTTAGTATGAAGTTAGAATGAGAAAATAAAACGACTTCCTCCATAAAAATATTCTTACTCACACTCCTTTGGTTCTTCATAGATAGTGGCACAAGTAATTTGGAAAAATGGAGATTAAAAAAAATAGAAATGGTTCTCGCGATTTTATTCAAATCTTACTAAAGGTGTAAAAAACGCCGACTTCTCGGGGCACCCCAATCTAATGTGAAAACACCATGACAAAAAACGGAAATAGCTCTCGGTGTAATGACTTTGATCATTAGTGTCGTGGCCGAAAGAGGGTGCCATTACATGAGCCTGATTCCGTGGTGATAGACGACCCCTGATATTTTTCAACTTGCTTCCGCAAGTTGTTCCCGCATTACTCGTTTGTGCCTCCGCTTCGCTATCAACTATTCAGTGCTCCGTAATTAAAATTTATAGCAGCGCGC